AGTGATAGGTTGGGTTTATGAGTTGTGTTTAGGTTGGGGTTTTTCTTTTCTTATTATTATATTATTATTATTGCAAATATCCAGTATATAAGTGAATGTACAAAATTGAAAATGAAAATGAATAAAACATTTAAACATAAAATAAAAAAGAAAAAAAAAAAGAAAAAGACAAAAAAAAAATAATTAAACACATTTCTTGTATCTGACAGGTACTGCGCTACTCAAGACAACCCCAAGATGCCTGGTTTTTAAAAAATGCTGAAGCCACACTGTACTGTCCTCTCTCCTCAGCCCCAATATTGGCCTCCAGGTTCAGTCCCTCAAAGTCAAAACCACTCGGTCACCGGATGGGCCTGAAGACAGAACTGTGCGCTCTGGTTCAAGAAAGTCTAGCATAGCATTCAGGAAGAAAAAGATAAAAGCAGAGATGCTCATTTGATGTCATCCAGCAATCTTTCCCCATTAAAAAATCCAAATGCCCTCCAGATACACCTGTAACAATCAGCAAAGGAGCCAACGGTCCATCAAAGAGACCGTCGCCCATAAGAAGCCACAGATTGAATGTAGACAGCAGAAAGGAAAAAATAACCCCAACCTCATTTCCTTGCCCCAAATCTATCTATTAGGTACCCATAACAATAAATCAGCCTTCTTCAATCTGGGACCTGAAATATGATGAAACATTATTTCCCAGAGGCCTGAGCCAGCTAGAACTTTATAATTGGCATCTCTGGAAGGCGTCCTGCTGGGGGAAAGGCGGCATTAATCTGTAGTAGTTTAGGGGAAAGGATCAGGTAACTTGAAGGTAAAATCAGAAAGCATCAGGTGCAACGAAGGACATCTATCTGACTGGATTGTGAAGGAGAAAGGCCAGAAAATTGATGCAGGAAAGAGTCCCATTTCTGACAAGTGGCCAGTGTGGTTTGCATGCACCTTACAGAGAAAGCAGCTGAAAGCAGGGTGACAGGGGAAGCCTTCAGCAAGGACGGTGCTCTCCAATGTCTCCTCCCCTCTGTTGAACAAACTTTGTCCCAGGGCTGCAGATCAGGACTGGAGAATGGGCCTAGCCTGCTTGAGCCATAGGCCAGGCTTTACCAAGAGGCTTCTGCAGAGGCAGTGCTTATTAAAAAAAAAACACCCCCACCTCCACATTTCATCAGACTGAATCTCAATAACAATTCCTTTACGTTTTATTCTCACAAGGGAGACTTCAGGCTCATCAAGGGAGAAAATGCCTCCCCTCATTTTGTTTTGCTCAAGGGAAGGCAGCCAAACAAGAGTGCTGGATAAGCCCCCCCCCCTCACATCTTTCTCGCTTTAGGAGGGGGCAAAGCCAACATACATCTCTCTCCCTTGGAACTCACCTGCCTGCCCTGATGGCCAGGCAGTCTGGAGGCTCCTAAGGAGACCACTCAATCAAGGGCCCACGGATGGCCCTTAAGTGCCTGGGGAAGAATGAGAAACTTCATTACTTCCCCAAACACAGTGGACTGCTGAACAGGCTGTGTAATTTCACAGCCTCTGCTATATGTCACATCATATAGGTTTCTTTTCAAAGCCATCCTCTTTGCCAGACCTTTCTTACAATACAGGACACCTGCTTTACATACAGAGCATAGAGCTCTTCCACTATTTCCAATCAAACACTAGTGAAAAGCATTTCCTTATGAGATAAGCAGTTGGCTCCTCACTTTTGACTACTTAATAAAAACAAATAATCAGAAACCTGCTTTTCAAGGCACCTGCAAAAAGCAGCAACCAGATGGCTTTGTGACCTTAATGAAGCATCTGATGGGGTGAAACCAATTCATAGCCATCAGCCAGATGAGTGCCATCTCTGCTAACTGCAAGATGCCCAGCAGATGGTGGAGGGGAGGGAACTGGAAAGGGGAATCTGGGTTCCAATTGGGAGAGGCTCACAGGGGTGTCAAGCAGGTCCCCTTCTGTTTGCCAACCAATTCGGCAGAGCTGTCAGAAGTGGAAATGAGAGGACAGCATGCTAGGATCTGGCTTGAGCTCCTGAATGGTGGGATATTTTCCCAATAAGGAAATAAATATAGTAAAATGCACTCTTGAAATTCCAAAATATATTACAGTTGAAAAAATACTGCCAGAATGTGGCTACAACAGCTGAAATGAAGTTTACTCCCAAAGTCAAGGAAGCCCCATTGTTCTGTGGATCCTTTAGTCATCCTGAATTCAGGCCCAGGAAAAAAAAGCACTCCCCACCCACAATTGCACCCCAAAGTCTACAGGGTTCATTCCGAGACTCCCTTGGGAAAGGCAGGGACTTTCAAGGAAGGCACTCACCTGCTTGTGCATTTCAATGTTCAACCCGTAAGACATTTCATAGTACTGAAAAACAAAAGAGGCACAAACTTTTTACCAATAATGCAAGAAATGTTTGGAAGAAACTAAGCGTGCCCAAAATTCAACATCAAAATGACAAAACTGGATTTATTAGGGCCTTGAACACCTCAGTTCTGTACAGTCACCCTAGCAAAACTAGAAAAAGGCTGTCATAAAACATCTCTTCCCTTGAGCTGAACTCTCAGCTACCCAGACCCAAACTGAGCCCCTGCTGTCTCCAGGAAGTGCACAGCCTAGGTAGTTCTGGGAAGCCTCGCTGGGGCTCCCTCCAACGGTACAAAGTAAGGCATAAGGTGCTCAGCGCAGAGGAAACCATGGGGTTGGATACCATCACCTCCCATCAACTCAGGACGTAATGATCAAGGACAGCATAAGCTCCCTGCCGCAAGTACCCAATTTACAAATAATGCCAACTCGGCCAGGCTTTCCTACATAGAGGGACACAATACAATGCTTAGACAATAATTATCTGGGAAAGACTCAATTCACAACTCAAGAGCCGAGCAGGAAGAGGAAATCAGTTGAGAGTCTTTCAAAGAATACATAACCAACCTATTTTTTTTTTACAAAGCCCTTTCAACATGCAAGAAAATGGCCACAGACATGCCAGTCTGTGTTATTTGGAGGCTTGGTAGGAGACTCAGCCACTGCTCTGAAGTCAGACTGCCCCAGGTTTCCCAGCCAGATGAAGCCACTGGAGAGAGAAGCTTCTGACCCAAAGCAAATCTTTAGACTCCCAGAGACAAATAGGGAGTTTTGGGACAGCTTCAGCTGCCTTAAAATCTCAGCAAGCTCCATATACCCAAATGTCATTGTACAGGCCATGCCACCCAAGTGCCTGGAATAATTATTGAACAGCCACAACTGTAGGGGTGATTTATGGCAGCAATGAGTGTGTTGTGGGAAAGGATGGCTGGAGCAAAAGCAGCTGACTACATAGCACAGTGTTCAAACATTTACCCACCACTGATCTTATATTCTCCCTGGGAACATTATGAGGCCATCTCCAGCCCAGTAATCCTTCTGGTGAGTCCCCAAAAGAGAAGTGACACTGAACACAATTTTGGTAGTTTGGCAGAGCAGCTCTTCCTGACGTATTCTTCAAGTAGAACTTTGACATACACCAGCAATCTGCTCAGAGGCAGCAGAAGGACCTGAAGCTCAGAGCCTGCAAAACCCACAGACCACACAGAGCCCCTGCCACACGGGCCTTAAGAGAAACAAAGAGCAGGCCAGGAACCTCAAACCAGGATCCACAATACAACAAACAGTTTTCAGGTCACACAACCAGGGCAGTCAGGGCATCTTTTGAGCAACGGGCCCGTTAACCAGAGAATTTTCAGTGCCTTCCGTGCAGGGCTGTGCGTCGGAGAGCACCCAGGCACCGCAGCTAGAGATCGCAGACTGCAATTTAGCCACTCTGTCTCTCCCCTCCCCTCCAGAGAATGACTATTGGGGCTACTTTTGAGAACCCCAATAAGTGGGACTCAAATGCGATGAGCAAGGAGATCCCTCCCAGTTCTGTTCCTGCAGAGCCAGAAAAGATGTCTCTTACCATGACATAGTGGCGCTGCATTTCCGTCTTTTCATTTGCAAGCTTGTCATACTCCACTTTCAGACTAAAAAAAATAGGAATTTTTAAAGTGACACGATATACAAAACATCATCCCTTCAAATACGAAGAAAGGAAACAAGAAAAAATATGCCCACAAATCCAATATGTTGACATGAAACCCTTCCTTCCTTCCTGCATGTTTACTAGCTGTGCTCATAAAAAGTTTTAAGCCTTCACAAAAATGAACTCCGGCACTCAGAACTGGAGGCCCAAAGGCCTAGAGAAAGATTCTCCACGCTCTAAAGCTAAAGCGCCCGGCCTGACTATCCTTAATTGTCCGAAGCCCAGCCTGCCAAGTATCCAGCCAGAGAAAGCATACTCAGGCTGGGAAAAAAGGAAATCCTTGGAGGTTTCAGTTAAAGAGCCACCATTCCTGGAGTTTCTTTTCATACAGGTAATCCTCGACTTATGACAACAATGGAGCCCAACATTTCTGTTATTAAGTAAGACATTTGTTAAGTGAATTTTGCCCCATTTTATCACCTTTCTTGCCAAAATTGTTAAGCGAGTCATTGCAGTTGATTAGTTGGTAACCCAGTTGATAAGTGAATCTGGTTTCCCCATTGACTTTGCTTGTCAGGTCACAAAAAGTGATCATTGAACCTTGGACCACAGCAATGGTCATAAGTATGAATCAGTTGCCAAGCATCTGAATTTTGATCATGATGATGGGGATGCTGCAACGGTCATAACTGAAAGACGGTCATAAGTCACTTTTTTCAGTGCCACTGTAACTTTGAACCGTCACTAAATAAACTGTTGTTAAGTCAAGGACTACCTGTACAGGTAAAGCAAACAGCAGGCAAAGCCAGTGGAGGGAGTAGGGAGGAAGCCACCAGCTGCTTTGGGCTTCCTTAGCAAGCCAGAAGATCAGAATGCCAAGGCAAAAGAGCCAGCAGCCCTTCATTCAAGAGCCAAGGCTCCGGCACTGGCAGGATTTCCTAAGGTAAAGGTTTCCCTGTCAGCCATGTCCGACTCTGGGCCACAGGCTCATCTCCGCTTCTTGGCCAAGGGAGCCAACGTTGTCCGAAGACAATTTCCATGGTCATGTGGCCAGCATGGTTACATGTCAAAAGTGCACGGAACGCTGTTACCTTCCCACTGAAGTGGTACCTATTCATCTCCTTGCATTTGCCTGCTTTTGAACTGCTAGGAGAGCAGTACCTGGGGTGAGGAGGAGCAGGAGAAATGATGGGATTTTACTCCCAAGCAAATGGGGGCCCTGAGGCCCAGAAGCTTTAGGGCACAGCTTGAAATCCAAAGCATTTCTCAAGGGAGCCACTGGAGGAGAAAGGGAGGCAGAAAACTGCATTTGAAGGGGAAGGGGGCTTTCCACAGGGAAAGCCTACTTCTTGCCACCCTTATAGGCTGCAGGACCCAGTGGGATGAGTGGAGGATGCTCACCTGTGGTACTGGGCCTGCAGAAACTGGAACTCGTCCTTAATCCTGTCACAGGATTCAGCCACTGTGAATTTAAAGCCAGGCTGGTGGGGGCCCTAAGGAAGAGACACGTTGACTGGAGGCCAGGGGAGCCCAGCCACCCCTCCCTATGCCAGCACCACTGGGGTGGGACTTCAGACCCTTCCCCTTCCAGCATCACGGGAGAACCATCTGGGCTCCCTTCCCAAAAGAGCATTGGGCTGGCTAGCTTGGGGAGGGGGCTCCTTGAAAAGAAAGGACTATTGGAAGGGGCCCTTAATGAGCAAATGACAACAAATAATATATTAATACTAATACTCCAGACCCTCCCTGACACCCGAGATGTGGTTTTACAAACATTTGATTCAAAAGTCAAATAAACCAGCTTGCCAGGACCCTGGAGACATTCAAAGAGCCGGCCCGGGCGAATCTATCGCTTCGTCTTTCCCCGCCTAGTTTAACTGATTGCAAGGGAGGGAGGGAAAGCATCGCTAGCCCAGCCGGCGGGGGCGAGGGGAGTGGGGGGCTGCTTTGAACCTTGGCGGCCCTCTGCCCAAGAAAGGAAGGTTCTCCGGGCAAGGCCCAGCACCACTCACCGGGTGCCGCCCCTGCGGATACATGGCCCGCCCCAGCAGGCCCACCGCCACGGGAACCAGGACTCCTCTGAAGCCGGGACAAAAGAGGCGAGAGCGGGCGGCTCAGCACCCGGCGGCCCCCTCACGCCCCCCGCCGACCCCGGGAGCCTGGCGCGCCTCCTCGTCGTCCTTCTCCTCCGGGTGGAGCGGCAGCGGCGGCCGACCTTCCCCCGGGCGGGCGGCGGCCGAGTTGGCTGCGCCGCCGCTCCCAGGCATCCTAGCTCCCCAAGCTCGCGAGGATTCTCGCCGGCCCGATCCCGATCCGGCGCCGCTCAGTCAAGCCGGAGAGCCGCGCGCACTCGCAGCGGCGGTGTCCGGGCGGGGCGCAAGCGACGCCGGCTCCTTTCCCAGGTTGCCCCACACCGTCGGGCTCCGCTCCAGCTGCGCGTGGGGGGGAAACGGCGGCGGCGGCGGCCGGAGGAAGAAAGAGGGAAGCGAGGCGAGCGGGAGGGGGGTGTCCTCGCCACTCTGCGCCAATCACCGCGCAGGGATCCCACGTGGGGAGCTCCCGCTGATTGGGGCTTGGGCGGAGGGGGCGGGGGCGTTTCAGGGCCCCCGCGGGCTCCCTCCCTGCCATCGCCGGGGCCCCTCCCGTCCCTTCTAGCCGAGGAATTTCGGGGCCGTACAAGGCTCGGCGCCGGGCGAGAGGGCAGACGTCCCGCGGGGAAGGGAGAACCGAGGCCGCTTCCTTAACCACGGCTGCTGCACCGCACCGAGCCTCCCGTTTGCTGTAGCCGCCCCAGTTAAGCTAAGCGCCGGGCGGCTCACGGGACGCGCCAACCAGAGATCCGCTCCCGCTTCCCTCGGACTCGGCTTCTCGGCGCCCAATCCCGGGCGCGCCACTGACGGAGGGCCGGGGTGGCGGCGGCCTTCGCGAAGCGCTGGGCGCGTGGGGTTGTCGAGGCGCCGGGAGGAGGAAGCAGCCGCGCTTCGCCCGCGGGACATTTCCACAGCGAAGAGCGCCGCGGAGCTTCCCCTCCCGTTGCCAGGAAGGGCCGGTCAGAGAAGGCGCCGAGCGCTGCCTCCCAGGCGAGGGCGGTAGCTGTGCCGGAGGGTCGCCCGTGGCTCGCCGCCTGAAGCAACGGAGCTCCTGGACGCGCGCCAAGCTACCCCCCTCGGGGGACTTCCCTCACGTGAGAGGCCCCCGCCCCCTGCCCAGCCAAAATGGCTTCTGGCATGACGTCATTAGGGAGGGTGGCGCCCCACCCCACGTGGAGCACGGGCGCGCTAGGGAAGGATGGCCAATCGGCGTCCTGGCAAGCGCTTTCCCGGCCGCCTATTGGCCCTCTTGACCGTCTGCTGCCACTCGGAGTCGGCTATACGTCGAACCCACGCGGGCCGCGGAGTCAAGCGCTGCCGATTGGGCGGCTTTCCTGCGGGTGCGCGCGCAACTCTTGCCCGGGAAGGCGCTTAATTGGCTCGGAGCGGCGTCTCCCTCCAGCCGGATCCGTCGGCCGCTGCCGAGTGACTGAGGCGCCCCGCACTAGAGCGGCCGCCGCTCGGCAGCCTCGCCCTCCCCTCCCGCGCAGTGCCGCAAAAGGCGCCGTTGCAAAGCCGGGAGAGGAAGCGCGGCTGAGGACTGCGGGCGCCGGGCTGACACGGAGGTCGCTTCGGCTGTCGGAGGCCCGGAGCGCTCCCGCCGTCAGGTACCCGGCTAAGCCCGCCAAGGGCCCGAGTGCGCGCGGCACGGAGAGGCCTTTCCAGCTTCTCGCTTGTTTGAAGAAGGCCGGGATGAGCGACGGGAAGTGGGTTTGGCCGCCCGCCGGGCCAAGCCAAGACTCGCTGCAGCAGTGGCAACGGTGAGCTCCGCCAAGTGAGACTCGGGAACGCTGTTTCTTGCGGGAAGTGGGGAGGAAGGGTCGTGATGCCCGCAATTCCCTCCGGCAGATATAAGAAATGATCGTTCAAGAAACCAATGTTGTCGGGAATCTTCATTGCAATATGGCGCTGCTGGCATTGAAAAGGAATGAGAGTCCTCAAAATAGTTCGTTCATTATAACTTTTTAGCTGACTGAAAGGAAAGCGGATTTGGAGTGGGGAAATATACAGTCCTGGCCAAAAGTTGTGAGAATGACCTGAAGATTAATTCTCACAAAGTGCTGATCCAGTGTGGAAGATGACAATGTGCATATACTCCAGGATGTTAGGAAGAATGATCAAATTAATTGCAAAGTCCCTCTGTGCCATGAAAATGAATTTAATGCCCCCAAAACATCTCCACTGCATTTCAGCCCTGCCTCAACAGGAGCAGCTGATATCCTATCAGTGATGCCATCCTTAATACAGGCACCAGTCTTGGAGACCACTCTTGTCATGCTGATGAGGTTAGACTAACAGACTGGAAGCTTTACAAGGAGGGTGGTGCTTGAAGTCATTGTTCTTCCTCTGAGGAGGAGCCAGTGACGGTACATCGTGCAGACCCAACAGTCTGAGTCCGCCGATGACACTTTTGCCTCTGGACAGTGACTAGGAAGACAAAACCTTGCTGGTCACAGGGACATCGCAAAGTCCCTGATCGATCCAAGGAAAGCACCTCCAACCAGCAGCAAACAGGCAGTCCCCAGGCTGACAAAGTCTCCGGAAGGAAAGAAGAAGTGAAAGTGTTCCATCTGGTGAGGGTTTGGGTTTTTTTTTTGTTTTTTTTTTTACTTTCAGAAGACTGCCCTAAGAAACCTTTTTTTTCTTTAAAGATATTAGTCCTCTAAGTAAGAATAAAGCGGCGAATTTAATCTTTATTGGACTCCTTCGAAAGGTCTTTGCCTTAGCTTGTAACAATGTTTTGTGGATTGAAGTGATTGCAATGTCTCCTGTTTCTCCGCTTGAAGTGAATGGACTGATTTTTTTTCCCTTATTTTTTACTACCTTAATTCTTTTGGCTTAAACTAAAACTTTTTTTTTATTTTAACAAATTCCTCCTTCTATTTGTTATAAAATCATATCAAAGATACTTGAAGAAAAAGTTTTTAAAAAAGTTAAATCTGGGGAAGCCTGAGCCTGAAGTTTTTTTTTTCTTGAAACAATGTATCCTTTGTTCATTCCTATTTGACTTCACTGACTTTGCAAAGGAAGGGTTTGGAACTTGTTTATAAAACTTGATAAAGACTCAAGGGCACGAACAGTGTCTTGCAGGTGCGTTTGGAAAATATTTTGGCAAAAGAAGGAAAAGGAAAGAAAAAGGCAAGAACCCTTCTACTTTGAAAACCACAAAAGAACTTATGCTCAAATATATTCTTCAAGAAAGTTTTCCTTTTTGACAGGCTAGTGTGGCAGAGATATCAGATTCCTTTTTTTTCCTTTTCTTTACATCTCTTTTCTTTTGGAAAAATGGATCAATATTCAGATGAGGAAAACTTAAAAGTTCAAAACATCCTGGATGGACTTCAAAATATTTTAGAAGGAGCCATTATAGTATTTTTAGTATTTTAGATCTATCTTTTTTCTAAAGAGGGCGGCATGTCAGATCCATAGCATGATACTGCCATTCAAATGGAGGGAGGGGGTGGCATGGGGATAAGCTGTGTTTTTATAACGTTTTTCTTGGCGGCTAAGCACCTTGCAGTATTCTCACTTTCTTTGGAATGTAATGAGGGAAGGCCATGTGGATTGTTTCCGTTTGCTGAAAGTGGAAGAAGATCCTGGGAACGTCTGTTTCTCAAGATGGCCGTTACAAAAACATATTTATACCTGTGGATTGGCTGAACCCTCATTCGGACTGGAGGGAAGGATTCTAAACCCCTATTTTTAACTGTATAGTTTGGGAGGGAATTTAGATCTGTTTCGCCTATCCTGCTATCACTTCTCAATAAAAGATTCCTTTTGAAATGCCACGTTTTTAAGAGTTTATACTTTCTTGGGAAAGGAGGAGAGGCAGGTCCTGACAGTAGATCACAAATAGTACTGGGGAAGTTTGTCGTAACTTTCAACTTTGTTAAGCAACTGGTCATAAATCAAGAATTCCTGGTACATCCTAATTAGCTTCCTACTCTTGCAGTGTCACAGAAGGCGATCTGCATATGGACTAAGCAAAGAACCAATAGCCACATCCACCATCTTCAGCTCTTACATCTTCACTCCTCTGCCAGGTCTTGGAGTCATGGCCATGGATGCACCTGAAACTCAGGAGGACAAACATTGGTAGGACCCCATGCCTGCCACTCCATTGAATAAATGCAGTTGTGGGCCTAGTTTTCATCAACATCCTCCAACTCAGTAACCCAGCCTCCTAGATCCACGAATTGGGGGGGAAACCGGGGTGGGCTACTCTCTCTTCCAGGCACTTCTGGCCATTTCAGCAAGCTCAAAGTCAATTGACAAGTTAATTTCCTTGTAGGGAAAGCCAGAAGACTCCTGAGATTTGCCTTGCAGGCATAGTGCAACCAAACTCCATCTCAAAGAATAACTCGAGTCTGGTGATGCTTGAATGCAGATTTTATAGACATAAGTGCTTTTCTGCTTACTTTGCGTTCTGGTTACTGTATTGTGCTATTTGAAGTTATTAGTTATAAGCCAGAAATAAAAAGCAGTCACCATTTTAACAGAATAACAGAATTGGAAGGTCATCTAGTCCAACTCTCTACCCCCCACCCCATCTATGCAAACCCTACACTATTTCTGACAGATGGCAGTCCAGTCTCTTCTTGAAAGCTTCTAGTGATGAAGCTCCCACAACTTCTTGAAGGCAACTTCTCTTCTATAGGTTGTTCTCACGATCAGAACATTTTTCCTTATTTTAAGTTAAATCTCTCCTTGAGTTTTCCATTCATTATTACTTGCCTGGCCTTCAGGTGTTTTGGAGAATAGTTTAACCCATCTTCTCTGTGGCAGCCCTTGAAATATTGGAAGACTGCTATCATGACTCTCTTCACTAGACTAGCCAGGCCCAGTTCCTGCAACTGTCCATCGGATATTTTAGCCTCCAGTCCCCAAATCATGCTGGTTGCTCTTCTCTGCACTCTTTCTAGTCTCAACATTTTTTATTGCGTAGTGACCAAAACTGGATGCAGTATTCTAGGTGTAGTCTTACTAAGGCTTTATAGAGTGTTATTAGTACCTCACTTGATCTTGATTGTATCCCTCTGTTAAAGCAATTTAGGATTGCATTGGCTTTTTTGGCTGCCGCTGCAGTTGGCTCATTTAATTGGTTATCCACTGAGACTCCATGATCCCTCTCATAGTTACCGCTATTAAACCTGGTTTCACCCAGTCTATATGTGTCCTTTTGGTTTTTCTTGCCTAAGTGTAAGACCTTACTTTTCTCTACATTGAATTTCATTTTGTTAGTTCGAACCCCGTGTTCAAGTCAGTCAAGATCCATCTGGATCTGGAGCCTATCATCTAGGGTGCTGACTATTCCTGCCAGCTTAATATCATTCACAAATTTGATGAGTTCCCTTTCTATTCCCCCATCTAAATTGTTTATGAAGATATTGAAGAGTATTGGGCCTAGGACAGAACCTTGCGGTATCCCACTGCTTACGTCCCTCCATGTAGATGTAGTTCCATTAAGGACTACTAGTTTTACAGCCAGTTACAAATCCATCTGGTGGTGATGTTGTCCATTCCACTTTTTTCTAGCTTACCAAGAAGTAGGTTGTAGTCTACTTTGTCGAATGCCTTGCTAAAGTCTAAGTATATTATGTCCACAGCATTTTGCTGGTGGTCTAAGTTAGTCACTATGTCAAAAGAATGAAATAAGATTGGTTTGGCATGATGTTTTTAACAGATCCATGCTGACTTCTAGTTATTACTATACTCATTTCTAGATGTTCACAAATCTGTGTTTTTTTTTAATTATTTTTTCCAGTATCTTCCCGGGTATTGATGGGAGGATAATTGGTCTGTAGTTTCCTGAGTATGGTTTTTTTTCCTTTTCTTTTTTGAAGATGGGAACCACATCAGCTCTTTTTCAGTCCTCTGGTAGTTCCCCGGTGCTCGAGGAATTTTTGCTATATCCCAGCTCACCCACCCAAAACGGCAGCATGTCATTTCAATAAAGCACAGGAGAAGTGACACAGAAAATAAATGTTTATTGATATGTAGTGTAAAAGGGAGAATAGAAATACAATGCCTCCCAGAAAAAAGAGAATGATAATACTTTTAAGTATTCGTACATCAAAACCAGACAATTATTGTCAGTTAATCAAGTTGCTGAGAACAAGAGCACTTGGTGAATTGGTTAATCTAAGTCTTCCAGAAGAGCAAAAGAAGAGGCATTCTCTGAAGTTCTCAGAGTCAATCTTCCCCAAAGACATTTTAAGCCCACCCAATCTATGCACAGGTTAACCTTCCCCATTTCCTTTCCTCTGTTCACAATCAAATTTTCTGAGGTGACAATTCCTGCCACCTCAGAAAAATGGCAATAGAGCCAGCAGTTCATTGCAGTCCAACACACTCTAATTCCCTGTGCTTGGAAGGTCCTCTTTGCAAGTAGGCAAAGGGCAGGAATGCCCAGTTATCTGCAACTCTGGAAATCCAGGCCTTTGTGTTTGATCAGCATTGTGTATGGCAAAATCAGCTGTCAGTTTGTTAAAGCAGCACCACAGCCTATCTCCAACTGGGAAGCTTATGGTAAGAGTGACTCTTGCCAATCAAGGAGCCATCTTCAGAAGTCCATCAGGGCAACATCCTGTCTTAGCACACAAATACCTCCAACAGGCACAATGTGGCTTTGCAATTTTTCAAGATCATGCTCAACTTCAGATGCTTAACATAAGTAACTAGCATTTTTGAAGCAATCTGCTTTTAATATTTCCATGTAAAAAGGTCTTTTTTTCCCCTAGAAACCCAGAACACCATATATCTGCTTTTGGAATTATTCCAAAGTTACTTAAAAAGCAACACCAAATTTTCCAGTCCTTTATATTTATTCTTAAAACACATAACATCTATGCCAACTTAATTTTCTCACCAAAAGGCTTTTCCTGCATAAATAATATCCTTTAGAGTGGATTATCATACACAATTTACAAAATACTGTATTTTAAGATGCTTTTAATCACCTTAGCATAAAATCAAAGAATTTGAGCAATTGGGGTCCATTGTTTGAATCCAACTAGCACAAGCTAAGACACAGGCCTCACAGCAGGAAGGGGTCTTTCTGGGTGCCCCTTTCAGCAGAGTTCCCCAATCCAAGTTGAATGGAGCCACAGCTGACAGCCGCGGCCACCCGTTCATCAAATCTATGTAAGGACACAATTAAGTTCCCTGGGTAACTGAAAAGACTTGCCGCTCTAGGAGAGAGATCCCCCCCCCCCCACTCAGCAAGCCACAGATCTGGAAAGGACAAACTGGTCTTTGGCCCTTGACCCTTCCTGGCTGCAAACGGGGGTCCAGCAGTACAGCCAAGCCCACTACAAGAGGCACAGGTATTCTTTTGTTTTTGTATTTTTTTAAAAAAAAAACTTCTTTAAATTTTCCCAACTACTTTAGTTCTTAATTAGCTTATCTGTAAACAGTTTATTCTTTTTTTAAAAAGTAATGAATGATCGAACACAAATCTTAGGCTACTGTATTTCAAAGTTTCATAACAGCTTCTCATTTTTATCTATCCCAGTCCTGCTGTCCTGAAAACTACAAATAAATCAGTAATCAACACTCTGTGAAAAACTATTGTAAAAAGCAAAATATTATCTGATGTATTTTTCTCTCATGAAAACAGCAAGAAAAAGGCATGGATACTTTTACCTAGTCTTCAGAGAGGCAGCTTGGCCAGCCAAGCTGCTGTGGAACAGAGGGCCAGTTCCAGGAGGGTCCACCTACCCCCGAAGATGCAGGCCCACCTCTCTGAGCCCCCTGACAGGAGGGGGAGGGGAGATGTCTGGGCAGGGCAGGATCAGCATTCTTTTAGGGCCGTCAATCCGACATTCAGGAGAACTTCGCTTTGGTCATCATTTTGACTACCTATAAATAAAAACTTCTAATTTTTCAAATCACGAGTGATCTTTCATTTTGTTTAACAATGGGTTTGTGTAAAAAAAAAATCATATTCCTGTTACAAGAAGCTGGTAGGCGGGGTTTACCAACTCCTAAGCATTAAGGGAGGTTAAGAAATTGGCAAAGTTGCCTGCAGCCTGAGGAGCCAGCCAGAGCCTCAGTTCCCCTAGCAAATCAGTCCCTGTCGCATGCGGATGATCTGGAGCAAGGCTGCCTGCACATCTTCATCCATATGACCCTGTAAAAGTAAAAGGAGACCTTTAAAAAAGTAAACTACTAAACATTTAAGACACTCCATTCTTGTTGCTTGGCTAAGTCTCTTTAAAGGAGGCAGGTGTCACGCTCAAGCATGAGAGCCATTGTCTTGGAAGAAGTCACCCAGGCTAAGCGACCCCCTCCCCAAAGTCCCTGCAAGGTCACGCACCTGAACAGCACTAAGAAGGTGTGTCCGGTATATTGAGATGACTTCTTGGTGCTGCCTGTCAGCATCCTAAAGCAAAGGAATCTTCCATTAATTTTCTACCTGCAATGATCCAACTGATTGGCTTCACTCTCATGGAGGAGGGGTGAGAAGTTACACAAGGGACTGATGCTTTCGAGACCCCTAGAAATTCCTTCTGAGGTTTTGATCCACTGCTGACAGTGAGGAGCACTCCTAGGTACTCTCTGAGCTTGCTTGTTTTCTTGCAGAGTAAAATATTGGCGTACACCAGGAAAAAAAACATATTTAAAAGAAAAATATTTTAAAAGCTGACAGGTTCCAGGAGAAGAGCCTTCTGCCCTCTGGAACATCTTCCCCCTTCCCTCCCGACATTTTCTAAGTGCCTTCAAATCTGGCTATGCCTGGGGATCCAATGAAGGAGCTTCATACTGGAGGTGGTTGATGAATTAAAACTTAAGCCCACCTCCCCACCCGTGTGTCCAGCCTTTCCCATCGAATCTTAATGATTTTATTTAATGATTTTATCCACTGTGTTCTATGCTTGTTGATTTTAATGCTTTTAATTTTTTTATGCTGTAAGCCAAAGTTGTTGACTATAAGATCGGTGGCAAATAAATTTGATAGACAGACAAACAAGACAGCCAGTCAAGGAACCCTTGGTGCTCTCTGAGCTTGGCTGTTTGCTTGCAAACTAGCAGTGCACTGATGGGATCTAGTCAGGTCATGAAACATCTGCAAGGAACAACCGTCAGAGAGGACCCAAAGCTCCACCGAAGCTATTGTGATGTGTCCCTTGGACGACTCCTCCAATTCTTCCTCAGAGGCTGAGTTCGTTCCTGCCATGTCAGGAACTGGGTTAATTAATGACTCTGAACGGCCAGCCAAAAGACATTTACAGGAGGCTTCGGCTGGGGACAGCTTGCAGGTCAGTGAGGAAGAGCTACCTTTCATAATAGATCCGAGAGCACACAAGATAGAGAAAAGACAAGAGCAATGGAGATCTGCCAGATTACTCAGGAGAAAACCCTTGCCTGTCTTGATGGGTTGCACTGGAAGTGCAAGTCACAGAGGGATAAAAGCAGAGGGAAGTGTTGCTGCAAACAATATGTTTCATTTATGGCTGTGAGTTCCTTGTGCTTCCTGCTTGACTTTGTGCCTTGGAGACTCCATTAGCCTGGTGGAGTTAGGTTTGTTTGGTGGACTTATTCATTGGAGTAACTTTTCACTGTTTTAGGGACTATTGGCCATTGCTTTGTAGACTAACCTTGGCCTGCTTGTGGCTCGATTTATGTGGGACAATTCTGAGGCTGGGTGGAGGGAATTGCTGGGGAGCATTAATAAACTCTCTACAACCACACTTGTGTGTTTGAGTGAGAGAGGCAGCACTGCAATATATATTGTCTTTTATAGGAAACAAGTGCTAATGGAAAGTGGGGGGGCATGCACTCACAAACAGCATTCAGGTTTTTCTGCAGATGTGCAGAGTTGCAAGTCATGCAAGGACTGAGAGATTATTTTCCCACCATATCTAAGCCTGGTGCTCCTAACACACTGCAATGGGTCCTCATGTCCCAGATCCCTACTTACAGCCAGCTGCTGCTGCAGAGTCTTCACCTGGTTCTGGAGTACTTCCATCTGTGGATTTTGTCTCTTTGCAGGAATGTTGTGGGTAAGCTGTGAGAGGCCATTAAGAGCCTGTTTGAGCCGTTCCACATCATTGAGGAGCTCTGTTATCTTCAAGAGAGATATTGATAAAATTCCAATGAAAAGAACAAGAAAGCCCTGTCCTCCCATCACTCCTGGACCACAAATAAGGAGAAAAAATACAACCAAATCCCTGGGCACGTTCATCTAGAAGAGGACAGAAATTTAGCTTTGCCCACAAAATAGGGTTGACCCTGTTTTTACATGGAATTCTTGCATAAAATCAAAAGGCAGCAAGTAGGAAACAACTGCAGACATCTCCACACTGAGCAGCTCTTGACAGCTACCCCACCAATCCCAACTGCAGAAGGAAGAAGCCACCCAACTCCAGGGAGACCTCAGGTCAGAAAATCAAATTCCTGAGAGTTTTAAGATGATGACTGACCAATGTTATTTTTTATTAAATCGCAATGCTGTGATAATGCAATGTCCCCTCAGAACTTGCCAGCAGCTATGCTAGTGACTACATGGAAGTGCCCAGGAGCCTAAATGGAGATAGTGGGCATATGACTACTGTAATTTAAAAATACGTGAAGAAACAATGGCAGGTTTAGATAGTCCTTTTAACCTAGAGTAGGGTCCTATTCAGCTTTTCACAAGCTAGATGTTTTCATTGCGGAAAAACTCCAGGAAGAGCTTCCATAAATTATAGCAGTTTTTTTCAAATTCCCCACACATGACCCCAAATGTCTCAGAGGAAAATGTAATGCTGGCACCAAAACCTGATGGTGCAGCTTTTGCTCACCTGGAGATCCCTGTAAAGGTCCCCAAGAGTTCAGGGCAGCTTCTGGCAATTTAATGTCCTCGGGGGTTTCTATAAAGTACTTGTGTGGGATTTATAAATGCAGCTTTGTGTAATCATGTGTGCTAGATAAAACAAGCAATGCTTCTCTAATGTGACTCCATTCCAAAGCTACTGAAAGGAGTCAGCCTGGCTCTCCTCTGCGCCTCCTCAGGCATCTCAACTTCCCCGTTTCAACTGGCTCACCTTATTATCTTTGGCCTCCACCTGCTTGGCAGACTCCTGGATCCTTTTCTGCAACTCCACAATAGTGCTCAGAGACTTGTCACAGCGCTCTTTCTGGTCTTTGATTTCCTGCTCAATGTTGATATTTCTTGGCTGAAGCAGCTCCTTCTCATCCTTCAAGGATGGCTCCTCTGCATTTGCCTTCAGTGAATCCTGCTGCAGCTTTTTCATTTTGTTAGTCAGCTCAGCCAGTTTCTCAGCCATGCTGCTCACCTGGCCTTCTAGCCTGCTTCTCATTCTCTTGTGCTCAGATGCCTCCACCACCTCTCTCTTCTCCAGCTTGCTTAGTGCTTGCTTTGTACTCTGAAGTTCAGACTGCAGCTGGGAGACCTCTTCTTTTCTGGTTTGGTTTTCTTCCTCCTTCTCTCTCCATCCGGACTGGAGAATTGCCATTTCCTTCTCTAGCCTTTCTTTGATTTGGGAGTGTTCTGCCAGAGGCACCGAGGTGGCCCGTAGATGGACCAGTTCCTGCTGCAGCTCTTGAGCTCTCTGCAGCTCTTGCTGGTTTCTGGTTGCCTGGCTGTGGAGTTCTGCTTTCAGGTCCTCAATGGTGCAGCTGAGCTTCCTCTCCAGGGCCTCCACCTGCTCCAGAGGAACATACTGGCCCTGCAAGCGGCTCTGCAGCAGGAGCACCTCTGAGTGCTGCCTGGCACTCTCCTCCTGAAGCCTCTCCTTCTCTCCTGTGACCTCAGCAAACGTTTGTTGCAGCTCCCTTAACTCCTTGTTCAGGTCATCCACCTTGCTTGCCAACATTCCCTCCATTTTATGATATTTCTCTGCAAGGATATAGTTTTGCTGCAGATCAGTTTGGACAGTCAGGATCCCAGCTGTTAACGTTCTGATTTCCTCTATGTGTTTCTGGATTTCTTCCTCTTTTATCCTGAGCTGTTCCCCCTGTTCCAGGAGCTGGTTTTTCAGCTCCATCACAGTTGCCTCAAAGTCCCGCTTCTTTTCATCTAGACTGGCAAGGGGAGCATATTTCGACTTGATACATTCTTGAATCAAGTCAATCTCCTTCTTCTGGGCTTCAATTTCTGCATGCAATTGGACCACTTCTTCTTGCTTTTCTTGGTACTTTGCCAGCACTGCAGAGTTGCTTCTCTGAAGGTCTTGAATATTTTTATTCAGAGCAGCGACTTTACTGTCATGGTCTTTTGTACTGAGATATTCAGCCTGCATTTGACTTTGCAACCCCCTCAACCTCTGCTTCAGTTCACCGTTCTCTTCATTTACTTTCAAATATTCCTGCTTCACCTCTTCCATCTTCCCTTTCAGGTCTGACAATTCTTCATCTGTTCTTTCTAGCATGATGTTCAAGGCAGTTTTTGTCTCTTCGTGAGTTTCTGAAGAGACATACTGTTCCTTCATAACATCTTGGAGAGCTGCATTTTTAGTTACCAATTCAGAAACTTTGGCCTGCTCTTTTTCATATCTTTTGCTAAGTTCATTAAGCTGCTTTTGCAAGTCTGCCAAGGTAGATTTTAAGATTCCTATTTCCTTCTCATGCTTTTCAGGAGGAATGTAACCTGTCTGAAGCTTACTGACCTTCTCCTGCAGGCACAGCTTCTCCGCTAGTAGTTTCTCTGTTTCTCCTTTATACCGGTGATATTTTTCAGTGGTTTCCGTCACCTTCTTGTTCAGCTCTCCTACCACTTTCCTTGTGTCTTCATTGATCTTCAAAGGAACATACTGGGTCTTCACCTCACCCCTGAGGGTCTCCATCTGCTGCTTTAGGAGACTATGGTCCATCTGAGCCCTGTCTACCGCCTTCTGCAAGGCTTGGTTTTTCTGTTTCAGTTCCAAGTGCCCCTTCTCAAGCTCACGGGCCCTTTGCTCATATCTGCTTCTGACATGCTTATGTTCCTCTGGCTTCACATAGTGAGCAAACTGAGCTTTCTGCTTCTCAAGCTCCGTCCTAAGATGCTGAACTTCTATGCACAGCTTTTCACGCTCTTTCTCCAACTCTGCTAGCTTCCAGCCCTTCTCATCAATTTCATTGGACAGAGAACTCTTCATCTTTTCAAATTTGCTAGCCAATTTCCCTGCCGTTTCCTTCAGCTGCTCTTCTGCTTCGGAAAAAGTCCTCTCCCTTTTTTCACGTTCCACCTTCAACATACCAAGTCCTTTCTGCAACTTTTTGTTTTCCTCCACCAGCCTTGCTTCGTCTCGTCTGAATTCTTCCACTAATAGCTCATTCTGCTTCAACTGGTTCCTCAACTTGCCCACTTCAGCTGAAGCTCCCTCATACTTAGCCTTCATGTCTTTCAGCTGCTCCTTCAGCTCCTCAGCCACCTTAGTGCCACCTGCAGCAGCTTCATTTGTCAGGTGATCCTTCAAGGCAAGAAAGTGGGTCTGCATCTGCTTCACTTTCCCTTCTGAATCAAACATTCTCTTCTGCACATCTTTTAAAGCATCTTCCAGTTGTTTTATCTGCTGATCCGACTCTTGCTTAATTCTTTCACACTCGGAGACCAGGGCTTTGCATTCTGCAGTCTTGTGGGACAGCTCTGCCTGAAGCCTACTGAGGTCACCTCTTCCTGCCTCATAACAGCTCTTGATGCTGCTGAGCTCTCGCTTGAGAGTCTCAGTCTCCGAGGTTCCACACTGTGTTGGGCTTAAGAGCTCCAAAGGCCTCACCATTGACCGGCTCTGGAGATTAGCAGGCGGCAAAGCAAGAGTTTGCTTTAAACGAAATAAAGGTATTCGTTAAGTTTCATACAATTGTTTCTATAAAACAGTAACTTTAACATTTTTTATGTAAAAGGAAAAGCTTCCATCTAGTTCAACTCTGGTGTTTTGAATGCTATACTCCCAAGTTCATTCCATCATTTTTCAGATTAAAAGGCAGGCTAATGTTGCTTAGGATGAAAAATATGATGCCTTGTTGGATCACCAATTATACTTAGGATAAAAAGTAGAAAATAGGTATAAGGACATCCCTCCACTAACAAATGTATTGCCTCTAAATTTTACTTAACTTGGAGATTAAAATAGCATCCTCATTTCCAGATTTAAATTGCCAGCACTGGAAGAGTGTGAAGTTCAACAACTCCCCAGCTCAGAGAGAGCACAAGTGGGCCAATGTTTGTAGCCAATGGCCATGCAAAGCATTTGAGAAGGATTCAGAGCAGGGGTGAAATTCAGCAGGTTCCGACAGGTTCTGGGAAACCGGTAGCGGAAATTTTGAGTAGTTCGGACAACCGGCAAATGCCACCTCTGGCTGGCCCCAGAGTGGGGAGGGAATGGGGATTTTGCAGTATCCTTCCCCTGCCATGCCCACCAAGCCACGCCCACAAAACTGGCAGTAAAAAAAATTGAATTTCAGCACTGGTTCAGAGGCTGCAGCAAGTGGGGCAACAAAGAAAAAGAGATAGCCGAGATCAGGGGTGTCAAACTCAAGGCCCGTGGGTTGGATCTGGCCCACAGGATGCTTAGATCTGGCCCGTGGGGGTGCCCTGGAAAAGACCAGCCCATGGTGCCTCTACCAGTGAAAACCTTTCACTGCCAGAGGGCCGCAGAAAGCCAATGCGGCCAAAAACGGAGCCTCAATGACTGATGCCGAGGTGGCCATGCCCCCCCTCCCCCCCCCAGCCCCCTGAGGTCAAACACAGCCCTGATGTGGTTGTCAATGAAATCATTTGACACCCCTGGCCTAGATTATGTTCCCTTTTTTTGAAAGGCCTTGTTTTTAAATAGCATTAAACCAACATTTCATCGCTATTTTTGTGGTGAATTTATAGTTTTATGAATTTCTCACCTCAAAAGGGCAGAAAAAGCCAACTGCCGACAGCCACAGTTGCAGGGGGGTACTGACAGCAAAAAAAGGCAGGGGGGAGAGGGCAATTTTGTGGGCATGTTCTCACTTCTCAAAGCCCCAGCCTCCTCACGGGTGGAGCTACAGGAAGCTCTGCTGAGGAATGCGGCATCTCCAGGGGTTGCCCAATAACAGATTTAGATGCCAAATAATACATGGATCGCATTTGAAAAGCAAACTTGAGTTGCATTGGAACCAAGAACATTCAGGTAGGTACCTGGGATCCTGCAGAATAGCCTGGGTCCATCATTAGTACATTTTCTTTTCCTTAAGAAAAACAGAACACGTTCCTTCTTTAATTTGAAACAAATGTCCACATATTATATTTTCAAAAAGAAAAGAAAATCAAATGCACACATTGGTTGCACAACAATTTTGAAATGGTATTCCATCTCTTCAGATGCACAAAGTATTTCCATATACATTTGGGAGGTGAAAAACACAGTACTTACACAGTACTTATATTAAGCTTATTAAAGCAATATTAATAATCTAGCACTGGCTTTATAGAGAAGAGTTGTTACCACAAACATCCTGGCAATAGTAAGCTATTACTATTGTGAGATATAAAATATTATTTTATTTCAGCTGCAAGTGATAGATCTGAAAATCAAGATAGTTTAGCAGTTCCAGAGTGGAATCTCCTCTGAGACTCCAAATATTAATGGCTACTTTAAAGTTAGCAGCTGAAACCAGATGGATTACATCCCAGGGTTTTGAAAGAGCTGCCAGATGTGCTCTCAGAACAACTGGACCATATCTTTCAGAGCTCCTGGAGCATTGGATACTACACTTGATCTTAGCCAAAAGGCCGAGAAACGATAGGCCGACAATGCTACTGGAGCACTGGGGAACTATTAGAGGACTGGAAAAGAGTTGATGTGGTTTCAAACTTCAAAAAGGGAAAAGGTGTGGATCCAGGAAACTACTGACCAATCAACTTGACACTGATACCTGGGTGAAATCCTAGAAACTATCAAGGCAATTACTAGAAGCCAACATGGGTTTTAAAAAACAAAATTTGCCAGAGAAACCTTATTCCTTCTTCAACAAAGTGACTAAATTAGTGGATCAAGGAAATGCTGTGGACAGAGTTTACTTCAACAAGGCATTTGACAAAGTAGAACATAGTCTACTTCTTGGTCATAATATTTGTTAGACAGAATCACAACCAGATGGATTCAAGTTGACTGATCAACCACACTCAGCATATAGTCCAAAATGGAACTACATCTGCATGGAGGGAAGCATGTAGTGGGGTACCCCAAGGTTCTGTCTTGGGCCCAGTGCTCTTCAATATCGTCATAAATTACGTAAATAAGGGGATAGAAAGGGATCTCATCAAATTTGCAGATGACACCAAGCTGGGGAGGAACAGCTAACATTTTAAAAGTAGATTTGAGATCCAGAAGAATTTTGACAGACTTGAAGACTGGGCCCTATACAACACAATTCAATTAAGTGGTGAGAAATGTAAGGTTTTACACTTAGGCAAGAAAAATCAAATGCATAGGTATCGAATAGGTAGTACATGGCTTAACAGCAGTATTTGTGAAAGGGACCTGGAGAACAATCAATTAAGTATGAGCCATCAATGTGCTGCAACTGCCAAAAAAGCCAATGCAATCCTAGGATACATCAACAGAGGAATCGTATCAAGATCACGAGAAGTGAAAGTGCCACTTGATACTGCACTGATAAGATTACACTTGGCATTCTACATAAAGTTCTGGTCCCCATGATACAAAAAAGATGTTGAGAGCCTAGAAAGATATAAAGTATAATAAAGACAAGAAGAAGTCTGCAGGTTAAACCGAGTCCAACGAAGAGAAAGATTATCCACATGATAGCAGTCCTCCAATATCTGAGGAGCTAACACAGAGAAGAGGGGAGTCAACATATTCTGCAAAGTACTTGAGAGCAGAACAAGAAATAACAGGTGGAACATCATTAAAGAGAGATCCAACCAGAATTAAGGAGAAATTTTCTGACAGTGAGAACAATCGGTGAAATGGCTTGCCTCCAGAAGTTGTGGATGCTCCATCACTGGAGGTTTTTCAAGAGGAGACTGGTTGGCCATTTGTCTAGTGTGGTATTAGGTCTTCTGTCTTGAGCAGGAGGTTGGACTAGAAGACTTCCAAGTCGCTTCCAACCTTGTTACACTATGTTCTATGAAATGTCATTTTCAAATTCTGAATATTGCCATGATAACAAAGGCATATCCATTCATTCTCCCTGTGCTGGAATCTGTATCTTTTCATTACTCAGAAGTGGCTGGGCATGACTAAAGTTGCGACGACACAACGTGCGATCTCAATGCTCTGAGATCGCAGTTGACACTTTTGCCACTGGGGGGTCCAAACGGATCTAAACTGTCCCGAATAGACAGTGAACAGGAAGAATATGTCTTGCTGATCTTGGGGATATCGCAAAATCCCCGAAAAAAGCAAGAGAGGTTCTTCAAGCCGGTGATGAAAATTCCAGCCAAGGTTAATGAGGTCGGGGTGGCCCCAAAACAGAAGGAATGGAAAGTGAAAGTGTTTCCAGCTGGTGAGGAATTTTTATCGTTTTAAAAGAGAGACTGCCTATAAAAACTTAAAAATCGATTTAAATTGAAGAATAGAAGAATTAAGCGGCAAAATTAAACTTTTAATGGTTCTGGGTAGTAGTTATCTCACTTTTTTAAATACTATCTTTAAGGATGGAATCTTTACAAGCCTTTTAAATGCCAGAGTAAAAGAAAAAGAACTAGAAAAAATAATGAAATATTGCGATCTAGCCATCGAAACTACACGGCTATGGATGAAGCATATAACAGTGATACCCATTGTCATCGGGGTACTTGGCACCATGTCTAAGAATAGAATACTAAGATACATCAACAAATTGCATAAATTGCATCCATAAAATGGATGGATTAAGTCTTCTTTTTCTACTTTTTCTCTGTGACTCT